TCAAACTTCGTTACACTAACAAAATGTTACCAAGAGTAAAAAGAGTTGTTCGGGGAGATGGGCTATTGAAACAGAGTCTTCAGATCTGTAAAAACCAGACAGGGAGCATGGTACAGTGGTCAGAATATCAGACCAGGATTTGGAAGAGTCAGGTTTCTTTTGAACCTCCACTCTGCCATGGAAGTTGAAGAGGCGACCTCGGGCCAGTCCCTCTCCCTCAGCCTTATCTACTCTGCAGGGTTGCTGTTGGGAGTGTAATTGGGGCCAGTGATCCAGTGTTCCCTCTAAGGTGAGTTAGTGTGAGCTAGCTCACAGTTTCTTAGCCTCCGACTCACACATTTTTGTCTTAGCTCAGGAAGGATGGCTCCAGAGCAAACTAAATTATGCAGCAGCCAAATCACTAATTAACGACTTTAATGCCAGTAGCTCACAAAGGAGAATGTTTGCTCACAGGACTCCACAGCTTAGAGGGAGCATTGGTTGTAACCTGCCTTGGGGATCCACTGGGGAGAAAAGCAGGGCTTTCAATCTCTAAATAAGCAAAGGCAGGCTATCGAACTGCCTTTGATTTCCCACCACCCCAGTTTATAGGTTTTTATCTGAAGGAACGACCGTACTTACCTCTTCCCGTCACTGTCCACAGCCTGGACATAAAAGTACCGAGCGGGGAGCACCACATCCGCCCGGAGGCCGGGTCCCCATACTAAAGTATTCTCCGGACTGAGCTGGCTTCCTCCAGCCGGTTCCCAAAGCACCAGAAGGATTGTCCCCCAAGGCAAGCAGCAAGTCAGCCAAAGGCTAAACATTTACGGAGTTTCCCCCTGAAGAACCACAGCCGAATAAATGCCTTGGAGAGGGGGAGAGGAACCGAAAAGGTGTCCCGAAGCGAGTACAACGCGGGAGGCGGCTCTCAGCAGAAGGGATTTCTTCTGGGCTGCATCTCATCTGCCCTTACAGGGAAGCTCGGTGTCGTTCATCTGCCTCCGCACACGACACGGCGAAAGGCCGCTCTGGCTGTGCGCAATTCCCATGGAGGGAGAGCGAGGGAGGAAAGCGCCGGAGCGCGCCCGCCCCGTTCCTTTGTCTCGCTGGCGTCGCCCGCTTTCACTCTCGCCTCTCCGGCGGCATCTTCGCTCGAGCCCGACTGCCGCGCGCCAGAGGGGCGGGGAAGGGATGCTCGGTCCCGCGGAAGTTCTTCCGAACGAACGATCGCATTGGAGTCACGTCCCGGCATCCACAAGACATGCTGGGTAATGTAGTCCTGGAAGGAAGCTCGGAAACCGGCCGAGTTGATGGGAAGCAACATAATATCAAATAAAACCCATGCATCAAAAGATGCCGGTTCCTCAAGAGTTCTTAGGCCCTGGAGGGGTCTCACCACCATCCAAAGCTGCCGTTGTTCTCAATGATTTTTGTTGCCTGGAGAGCTGCTGTGATTCCTGGAGATATTAAACTTTGGCTCAGATATTTACTAGTGGTAAATAAAGTGGCAAAATGGGGAAATGAGGGTGGCAGTATTCAAAAAAACATCAAAAGAGGGGAATACTTTACAGGTGTCCCACTCCCTACTAAATATGCCTTAGTCTCTTTTTCAAGTATCCTGTGCCGGAAAAGAAAGATCTTGGCTTATCATGGGCTGCCACAAACTTTGGGGGGTAAAAGAAACAAAGAGTAAACATGCATCCCCCCCCATATTCATTCTAAAGGTAAAGGTTCCCTTGCTCGAAAGCCAGTCGAATCCGACTCTAGGGTTGCGGTGCTCATCTCCGTTTCAAAGCCGAAGAGCCAGCGCTGTCCGATGACGTTTCCGTGGTCATGTGGCCGGCTAAACTCCAAGGCGCACGGAACGCTGTTTCCTTCCCACCGAAGTTTATCTATTTATCTACTTGCAATTTCTTGCTTTCGAACTGCTAGGTTGGCAGGAGCTGGAACTAGAGATGGGAGCTCACTCCATCATGCGGCACCCGGGTTTCGAACTGCTGAACTACTGACCTTCCACAGCCTGCAGTTCAGCGTCTAAACCACTTGAGCCACCGCAGCTCCTATATTCATTCTATGCGCACCCAAATACACACTTTTTAATATGATGCCTCTATGTAAGTCAGTGCTCATTTTATTCGTTGTCATCATCTGAGGAACTGAGCTCTGAAACCATCTGCTGGAATAAAATTTGTTAGTCTTTAAGAAGCCACTGGGTTCCTGCTTTATTTTTCTATCCTTATCTGTGAGAAGATTGCTGTGGTAGTGGAAAGCGCCGTCAAGTCACAGCCAACTTATGGCAACCCCACAGGGTCTTCAAGACAAGAGACATTCAGGGGTGGTTTGCCATTGCCTGCCTTTGCATCAAATCCTCATATTCCTTGGAGGTCTCCCATAAAATTACTAACCAGGGCGGACCCTGCTTAGCTTCTGAGATGTGATGAGATTGGGATAGCCTGGGTTGACCAGGTCAGGGCAGAATATAGTATACATTTATAAGCAGTTTTATTCAAGGTATAGGCTTTTGTGTCCATGCACACTTCTTCAGATACATCAGAGTTCTTTGAATACAGGTTTAAGATATATTTATATTCCGCCTTATCGTCTTAGACTAAGGTGGCTAGCAAAGCAACAACGTGCAAAAACAATAAAACATCATAGTGCTGTTCACAAGTGACAGTGAATGCTTGTACAATCCATGTAAAGTGTATGCTTGATTGTCCTTTGTACACATTAAGTAATCTCATGTTACAGTCAATGCATGTACAGACTGAATATGTGATAAGAACCCCATACTTATCCAAGTACTGGTCTCTAGTTTCATTCAGTTAGGGACCGTGTGTTGGCTTTTTTTTTACAAACAGATGTATGCATATACAGGCAGGATGTAAGTGCATTCACTATAACATGGGAATAGGGCTTCCTATAACCATCAATCAGCAAGACAAAAAGACAAACCGCACACAAGGTAAAACCTGTACAGCCAGAAACACACTTACTAGACAATGTGTGTCTTTCCAAAATTAAAACACTAACTTCTGATATAAACAATACATTGTATGTTAGCCAGTTATTGTTACATTTACTAATCTGTTGAAATTCTTACTATCATGCCACATTGTGGCAAAAAATATCTTGTTAACCTATACCTAAGAATGGCCCCGGTCACACGGGCCGGATATCGTGTGTGTGGGGAGGCGTGGCTAATTGCCCCGGAGGAAACTAACGCGCGGCCGCCCGAGCACACGTCCCGGTTGAGGTCCCGTGGTTAGGGGGGAGATGCCGACCAGACGGGTATCCTGCAGCGCGGCACAGAAGCCGTGACTCTTAACTTTGTCCTCCTGGTTAGTATTAGAGCAAGAAGAGTAGCTGTGTTCTGTAGCAACAGGAAAAAAAGCAAGAGTCCAGTAGCACCTTAAAGACTAACAAAAGTTGTGGCAGGCTGGGAGCTTTTGTGAGTCACCACTCAGGTCTTCAGGTATTAGTATTTGGGAGACCACCACGGGTTGCCAGCCTCCAGCTGGGGCCTGGGGATCTCCCACTTTTACAACTGGTCTCCAGCTGACAGAGATCAGCTCCCCTGGAGAAAAGGGCGCCCGGAAAATCCGCCTACCATCCGTATCGTCAGCACGGCAAATGCTCTGTGTGACCGCAGCCAATGTTATGATTATTTTTAAAAGAAGAGTTTAAAGAATATATGTTCAATGGGCCAGGTATGAATGTCTCACCCTAACTGGATGATACAGGCTAGCCTGATCTTGTCAGAAACGAACCTGGTTAGTATTACATCAAGGTGGGCAGCTGTGTTAGTCTGAAGCAACAGAACAAAGTTAGAGTCCAGTGGGGGCACTTTTAAGACCAACAAAGTTTTATTCAAGGTGTGAGCTTTCATGCGCGCGCACACTTTGCCAGACAATGAATTACAGATGATAACCAGAAACCAAGCTTGTCATTATTTTTATCTGTTAAAAAATCTTCACTATTTTGCATGCTAATTTAGCAAGGAACCCTGTATATATACAGGTATGATCTGTAATTCCATTTCATTGTCTCACGAAGTGTGTGTGCACACCAAAGCTCACACCTTGAATAAAACTTTGTTGGTCTTAAAAGGTGCCACTGGACTCTAACTTTGTCCTCCTGGTTAGTATTAGGGCAAGAAGGGTAGCTGTGTTCTTTAGCAACAGGAAAAAAAGCAAGAGTCCAGTAGCACCTTAAAGACCAACAAAAGTTGTGGCAGGGTGGGAGCTTTTGTGAATCACCACTCACGTCTTCAGGTATTAGTATTTGGGAGACCACCAAGGGTTGCCAGCCTCCAGGTGGGGCCTGGGGATCTCCCGCTTTTACAACTCGTTTCCAGCTGACAGAGATCAGCTCCCCTGGAGAAAACGGCTGCTTTGGAGGATGGACTCTATGGCACTGTACCCGGCTGAGGCCCCTACCCAAACCCCGCCTTCTCCTGGATCCATTCCCAAAGTCCCCAGGTATTTTCCAACCCACACCTGGCAACCCTAAAGAGGCAGGCAAGGACAACCCGCTTCTGAACCTCTCTTGCCTTGAAAACCCTAATGGGGTCGCCATAAATTGCCTATGACGTGAGGACACTTTCCTCCTCCGGCACCCAGAACACCTTGAATCGCCAGCCCAACTCATATCTGCAGCCGGATCACGTAGACCACATCTTCACAGATTGCAATTAGGATTTTTAATTCCCAGCAAATCTGCCGCGCCGCTCCTCCTGCCGCCCCCTTAACCACAGCGCAAGCTTCCTCCAATCAAGGCCAGGTCTCTGGAGAGAGACAGGGAGGGCACACACATCAGCTTCCCAAAGCATTCACCTCACACACACACACATCCCCCCGCCAGCCGCGCCGTTGGTTTCCTGGGGGTGGCGCGCCTAAACCAGGGGGGATGCCAGGCATCCAAACCAGCAATGCCCGCCTTCTTGCATGCCAAGGATTGGACGCTTGTGCCGCCCATAAGCCTCCGGGAGCGGGGCGGGGCTTGCGCGAGGCGGCGCAGGTGAGCGCGGGGGCGGGGGCTGGAGCCCTTCGTCGCTTCCTCTGGGCAGCCGCGCGTGCCGCGGAGCCGCTCCGCCTCTGCTCCTCCAAGCGCTGCTGGTCTTCGAGTCATGGCCGCCGCTAAGCAGGTAAAGGCAAGCTGGGGCCGTGGGGGGTTAGTTCCCTTCCTTGAAGGCCTCATAGGGAGTCCTGGTGCAGAGGTGCGGCTGGGTTGTTTCCTTATTGGGGAGGTGGTGGCTGGAGGGGGGCGGTGGGGGTTTGCCTGCCTCTTCTGCTTATGGCCCCCACCACCTCAATGGAAAGGACGCGCCCAGAGTGGCTTCCACAGAGGCGTGTTTGAATTAAGCTGCAGAAGGATTTGAAAGAGCGCGGTTAGTCCAAATTCTTTGACGGTGTAGTCTGTTACTAGCCGTGATGGCTAAATGGAACCTCCATGTTCAGCGGAAGTCTGCCGCTCAATACCCGGTTCTCCAAGGCAGTGAGGGGGATTGGGGGCGAGCGCCACTGTTAAAATGCCCTGCGTGTAAACACCCGGAAGCATAAAGCTTGGGTACTGCTGGAAACAGGATGGTGGACTATGTGGACCCTTGCACTAATCTGGTGGGGCTGTTCTGATGCGATTGTGATGTTTCCTTTGCTTTTTGTGATCCGAGAGCCTTCTTCTAGTGTAAATAAGTTTAAAAACACAGCCTGTCTTCTGCACACCTTCTATACAGTATTAACTTTTTAAACAGTGGCGTAATTTTTCATTTTCCCAGTTCTGGTAGTCTTGGATACTTTCCTAGTTTAAGTAATTTTAATAATAATAGTCTAGCTAGATATGCAGCATTGTAAATTTGTTAGCATCATTTGGCCCATGGAAGCTCACTGGGTGATTTTGGGGCAGCCACATTCTCTTAGCCAAACCTACCTCACAGGGTTGTTGTGAGGTTAAAATGGAGGAGTGGAGAACAATGTAAGCTGCTTTGGTCCCCACAGATGCATTAAATAATAAAAGAAGGATATTATAGAGTTGCCAGAAGCCTACTGAAAACAGCAGCCAAAATGCCCAATGGATTGGAGGATCTTCCCTGTGACAAAAAGTTGTTTTAAATAAATAGCCTTCTGAAATGGAACCCAAAACAGCTAGTGTTTAGGACTTCTTAAGTTGACAGGGGGAAGAAAGACATGTAAAATAATGATTGCTCTAGAGAGAACATGTGGCTGTTTTTCTGTTATTATAGAACTAATAGTCTCTCAGTGAAATTTATTGGTTCAGTGAGACACAAGCAAGTATTTCTCCGTTCCCCCCCCCCTGCACACATGATTAGTGTGAGGGATCTCCCGCCACAGGGTCTGGTGAGGGTTGCTAAAATTAGATGCCTTTGCCAGAAGGATTAGATAAATTCACAGAGAAATCTACCAGTGGCTATCAGCCAGGACAGCTAAATGGAACATGCACAGATTGCCCTGTGTTCATAGGCAGCTGTATCAAATACTGGGAACAGGCAAAAGAAGACAGCTGCCTTTGTGCTATGCTTGTGAACTTTTCAGAAGCATCTGCTGTGCCATTATTGGGCACAAAATACTGGATAATGGCCTCTCACCAAGTTATCTCTGATGAAACTATAAGAGCCCTGCTGGGTTAGATCAGTGGTCTGTCTAGTCCAGCATCCTGTGTCACACGATGGCCAGCCAGTTACTGTGGAGGGCTGACAACAGGGCATACACACCAAGGTCCACTGGAAGACTTAGTCTCTCCCCCACACACTTTTTTTCGGTAAGTCATCAATGTATTTCAAATTTATTTATGCTGCGTTTTCACCCAGTTTAGGGCTCCCAAGGTAGCAGACAGTAAAAAATTACTGTGCACACACACAAACAATTAAACAAAACACATAAATAGGAAGGGAGGGTCAGTGAGAAAGCACCAAACAAAACAGAAGAGTCTTCACCCACTAGTACAGGGGGACAGACATATCTCTCTGGAGAGGAAATTCCATTGTTTTGGTGTGCCACAAACGAGAATGCCATTTCTTTGGTTGCCATCTTGTCTAGTCTCAGATGATGGAGGTACCTGATGAAGAGTCCTCGAATATGATCATAGTGGTCAGATAGGTTCGTATGGAAGTAGGTAGGAGATGCAGAAGAGTTGGTTTTTATACCCTACTTTTCTCTACCCTAAGGAGTCTCAAAGTGACTTACAATCTTCTTCCCTTCCTCTCCCCCAGCAGGCATCTTGTGAGGTAGGTGGGACTGAAAGAGTTCTGAGAGAACTGTGACTCATGGCCCAAGGGCACCCAGCTGGCCTCATGTGGAGGAGTGGGGAATCAAACCTGGCTCTCCAGATTAGAGTCTGCCACTCTTAACCACCACACCTTGCTGGTTTAAGGTAGTCCTTAAAGTGTGTTTGTCCTAAGTTGTATAGGGCTTTAAATATCAACTTGAACTCAGCCCAGAAGCAAACAGAGATCCAGTGTAGGTGAAACAGGTCTGGAGCAATGCTCCCTGTAAGCTGTGGAGTCTTGTGAGCAAAAAGTCTACTTTGTGGGCGACTGGCATTAAAGTTGTGAGCAAGCAATTTGGCTGCTGCATAAGTTAGTTTGCTCTGGAGCCATCCTTCCTGAGCTGAGAGAAAAATGAGTGAGCTGGAGGCTAAAAAACTGAGCTAGCTCACACTAACTTAGCTTAGAGGGAACACTGGTCTGGAGTGATATTGTCCCTATGAGCCGCTCAAGTCGACAATCTGGCCACAGCTTTCTGTGCCAGTTGTACCTTCCAGACACACTTCCAGGGCAGCTCCATCTAGATGTTTCCAGGGCATGCACCACAACGGCAAGATTGTTTTTGCCAGGAAAGGCGAAAGCTGGTGAAAGGTGTTCCTGGTCTCCACCTCCTTATCCAGACGGGAGGGCTAGGTCCTGCAGCACCCCCAAGCCACAAAGCTGCTCTTTGGGGTGGAATAAAACCCCATGAAGAACAGGCAAAACCTCAGTTCCTGGACTAATCCACTGATGTGTTCAGAAGAATGAAGTTAATAATTCTTAATAAACATCATCAACAAGGTCTCACTATTCCCTTCCATCTCCCATCTACCAGAGTAGCCTTGGCTATTTCAGGCCCATAACCAGGCCTGAAACCAGATTGGTATACATGAGTCCTCAGCAGTGGTCCCTCTAAGCTGAGTTAGTGTGAGCCAGCTCACAGTTTTTAAGCCTCCGACTCCCATGTTTTTGTCTTAGCTCAGACAGGATGGCTCCAGAGCAAACTAATGTATGCAGTAGCCCAATCGCTTGCTCACAACTTTAATGCCAGTAGCTCACAAAGTAGAATTTTTGCTCAGAAGACCCCATAGCTTAGAGGGAACATTGGTCCTCAGTATGTTCAGATTGTTTCAATAATATGATTCCATGGTGGGTCTGTAAGGTACAATCTTTTTTTTTTGGTGGGGTGGGATGGGGTTTCAACTCTGTGCAAAGTGTTCTATGCTTCAATTTTGTTGGGATTCTTTGATTCAGGATCGATGGCCGCATTGCAAACACAAGAGCACACACTTAGTAAAAGAAAAATATCTTTACTACAAAACAAAATAAAACATGGGTAAGGTACTTTGGATAAAAGAAATAAAATAAAAGGT